CGAGCGCGTAGAGATTTTGGCGCGGAAACCACTAACCCGGGAAGGAAAAAAGCTAGAAAGCTGAAAATTTAGGGTTATGTTCCCTATCTATGTATGACCAAAAATTTTACATTCAGCTCCTTAAAGCCATCTGGTACTCACCCACGGACACGTGAAAATTTTTATGGGTAAGCTGCTAACTCGGGAACGGGAAAAGCTGGAGGCTTTAATTTTAAGGGTATGTTCCCCGCTCATGTGCGACTAAAAAATTTTAAATTTAACTCTTCGGCGTGGCCTTTTTTTGCGGACCAGCAACTTTCCATTTGTCGGGTCACTGAAGTCGACACCTACAACTGACATATAAATAGCTGCACAATTAACTTCCCGGACTTCGAGGGCCGGTATTTCACAGGGTTAGCTACTTTGATTCCTTGCGATCTTGCTGCGGCACAAACTTTCTTTGCGGACCAGCAACTTTCCCATTTGTCGGGTCACTGAAGTCGACACCTACAACTGACATACCACATAGTTGCACAATTAACATCTCCAAACTCCGAGGGCCAGTATTTCACAGGGTTAGCTACACTGACTCCTTGCGATCTTGCTACGGTACGAGTGCAAAAACACATAATCGCTCCGGCCCGCCTGGTGCGTTCCAGCCTGGGTTGTCACTGCACTCAACTTTGCAACCGTAAAGGCTAGAAGCTGGAATTTCAAACGGTCACACCGGCGAGCCTGGTGCGTCGCTATTAGGGTTGTATTTGCATGATGATCCAAAATTGCTTTAAAAAACTAATTAGATTTATCTTGAAGAATATTTCCAGGACATGCGGTTTTCCACTTGCCGACGAATTTGGAAATTCGTGAAGGAACTGCTTATCAGTGTCCAGAACAGGAATGGGCAGCACCAACGCAGCCCGATGAAAACTATGGCCGTCAAGAATCATGTGCTTGGCTACCAAGAGAAAACTTGGATAGTATCAAACTTCGCGACTACCTTTCCATTGCAGTGAGGCGCTTCCGCATCGGCCAAGACAGGGTATTTTGTTTTTCATGAGGAAATAAGTTCCATGCGCGAACATTTCGAGTCTAGCACACGTAATCAGTGGCTTATCATCACAGTTTGGGTGAGAGTAAATGCAGTTCTCTAAGTCAGACATTAAATTTTTTTGCTTGTTTCGCGTTCCAGTACAGTCCCACACGGCATCGCTTTCCTCATGTGCCTGCCTTGCGCACTGCGTCTGGGTTTGTTTTCCTTAAAAGTTTTCTTCGGTCGAGCTGGATGTGTCGTCAAGTATGTTTGCAATTTTCTATAGTTAGTGACGAGTCGACTTCAAAAATTTATTCGACTGATATAGCCATTTGGTAACATATAGTTCTACAAGCTTTAAATGAAGACTACCAGTTCTGACTAAAAAAGGCCTGCATCACCAGTTCGTTCTGCCATGGGCTTGCATTATCCGTTACTAGAATAGGTGCCGAATAATCCTCAAGGCTAATGTGAGTCGTGCACAATTTCGGGTCTTCAATAATAATTGGGGAAGAATTCTGTTGCTATTTGGAGAAGGTGGATGCCATGCAACAAATCGAACAAATATAAAGAACACTTGTAGAAAATTCTACACAGATTTGTTTGCATCGCGTACCGACGTTCTAGCATTCATAATTTGCGCACTCCTGTACTTGTTAGCGAGATAAGGCATGCGGCTCTCCAAATGAAAATTGGAAAGGCTCATGGAAATGATGAAATTAACATCGGACTGATCAGTTCTGGAGGGCACAAACTTCGGAAAGCTCTCGTCATTCGGTTTAATCAGTATTTGGCAAAAAGAATCATTGCCCAGCGCACCGTCTGTCGGTGCGAAAATACGTTTTTTGCATAGTTCCCCGCAGATTTTTGTTGCTAACGGCACTGTTTTTTTCGACAGGTTCTTCTAGTTAAAAGAATCGAAACTGGCCACCAGGGCTGTTAGAAAACATACCCTTAAAATTCGAGCTTTCTAGCTTTTCAATTTCCCGAGTTGGTAACTTACCCACAAGAAACTCAGAGGACCACGCACAGGGGGATGGATTTGAGCAGCTTACCCGTCAAAAGCTTTCACAGACCGCAGGAAAGACTTCCCATTTTACGGATGGGGCCGCTCATGTAGATTAATTTCCGAAAGTTTTAGCCTTGTAGCTTCTGTAGGTCTCGAGATCAAAAGCCGGTAGAGACGCAGACACAGAGACAACCTCTCGACAGTGTGCCTTTTTGCTTTGCATGGATGCAAAAAACGCATAAAAATGCCTAACAGTCTGAAAAAGTCGAAAACGGCTGTGTTGCACAGAAAAGGCAGTAAGGAAGTTCCGAAGAATTACTGCCCGATCTGCCTTTTCTCCCATATTTACAAGCTTCTCACGTGGGATTATCACTAACCTTTCAACAAGGTTTATCGACTTACAGCAAGTTAGCGAGCAAGCTGGGTTCCAAAATAATTACAGCACTATGGACCGCTTATTCGCTCTAAACCAGTTGCTGGGACGTGCAGGGGAGTACGAACTCTCACTCTACGCCGATTACGAAAAGGCATTCGATAGCGTTGAGCTGAATGCTGCGCTACGAGCTATTGTAGATGGAGGGATTAACGAAAACAGCGTGGAAATTATTAAAAAGGGCAACACTAGACTGCTCAACAGACGCGATACTTCCATTCTGATTCGCATACCGGCCGAGAGAGAGAGAGAGAGAGAAGAGTGAGGTAAGGCTATCCTATATCGCCGATTGGAAAAGTGGGCTGAAACTCAATGCGAACACCTAAATCACTTGCGCTTCACGAATGACACAGTTTTATGACTCAACCCTTATGAAATAAGCGAAACGCTGCAGCAGCTGAAAGCACAAAGTAAGGAAGTAGGTCCAAAAATCGACTCATCGGAGACGAAGGTAATGCAAGTTCCCAGTGTACATGTGGCAACATTACAGATAGGCGGTGTGGACTTGGAAAAAGTTGACACCTACGTCTGTCTCGGACAGGAAGAAAATGGGCTGCGCAATCTTTCGCTGGAGATTGCACGTCGAAGGGCTGCCGGTTAACGCAAGTTCCACAGCATCGGCGATGTCCTCAAAGCGTCGAATCGGAAGGACTATGTCAACTTCTTAAGTATCGCCGTCTTGAATGCAGTGGCATGCGGATTCGAAAAGTGGCCACTCACGAAAGCTAAAGAGCGAGCGCTAGCAGTGGCGGGGAAAGCGATGGAGCGAAGAATAGTTGATGTATCTCTTCGCTGCCTCATAAACAGTAAACAGTCAGGCTCTCCGTCAGATGAGTGGCGTTCAGGATACCATTGCACCCACGCGAGAAAGTAAAATCTGGTGGGCAGAACATATTTCTCATCTTGCCGACAACTAGTGGGCGAAGCACATCAATGAGTGATGCCCGCGGAAAAGTAAGGGACCACTCGCGCAACCGCCGAATAGGTGGCATGCATACATAAAAAATGCGATGAGTACTGATTGGGGGCATGCAGCCCTGGATCAAGGGGCCTGACATAGCTGTGCTTGGGGTATGAAGTACCCTAGTAATAATACTAGCAGGGAACACCTATACTTATAGCCCGAGAGGTCTTGGTGTTTTTGGTTGTTTTGTCCTGTGCCGTAACAAAAGCGCTGAGTAAGCTTCCACATATGCTTACGTCTTGCGTATGAACACAGCAAATCTCAGGTTGCAAAGTTGTTGGCGTGCTTCTGTCACAGTAATCAGTCACGTTAGAAGGTTGAATTTCCAGTAGGCCTCACACTACAACATTTCCATTTCAGCCGATGCTCTCGCCCTTCACATGTAAGAAAAAATCAACAAGAGCATTTCTAGCGTGCATGAGCGTATCAGACTGTAAGGCAACGACTTTTCATATTGCTGACGATTTTGTTGCTAAACGAAACTGTTCAAAAGCGTGTGTTCGCCCCGGGGGCTTTAATACGTAACGAACTATTGATTTCAGGCTTTGTATATATTGATGCAGTCAAACTACGATATAGATGCAGCGAAACGCCAACTTGCTAAACGGGAAATTTCGAAATATGGATGGTCTAAGGAAGAGATGGTTCTGTTTAAGCAAGGATTGGCAGCCTACGGCAAGCGGTTCGATAAATTCGCACGAGGGGTATTTCATTCAACTAATCGTAGTTTTTTATGCGTTTTTGCTGAGCAGCGATACAGCGCTGCTACAGCGAGCAAAAATGCATGTTGTGACAACTCCGGTGCGTGTGTGTGCGTCTGTCCGGGTATTTCAACTTCGCAACCAAGCAAGCTCCGGCACCAAAATTTCGCTAGCAGGTTCCCCGGCGAAGTACCACCCCAAGACCGGGGCACCAATCCTTGCGCACATCTGAGTCCCGCGTACGGCCACGTGAAAATTTTGACGAGAAAACCGCTAACTCGGGAACCAGAAAAGCTGGAAGGCTGGAATTTTCACGGGATTTTTACAGCCCACGTACAAGTTAAAGATTTCAAACTCAGTTCCCGTGTATGCCTCCAGGTCACGTACAGCTTCATAAAAGTTTTAGCAGGAAAATTACTAACAATTAACCAGGAGGGTTGGAAAGTTGAAATTTTGACAGAATATTTCCTTTCCAAGTGCCACGTGGTAGTTGTACAATTAACTTCCTGAAGTTCGGGGACCAGCGTGTCACAAATTCTACTTGTTGTGATTCCAAGCGATCTTACCTCAGCACGAAATACTGCAAAAATCGACAAAAACTAAAACTCGGCTCACCTCGGCCACTGTACGATTTGCCAATTGGCCCGCAGATGGTGTAGTGTGGGGGG